TTGGAACTGTCCACCTGGGCCATTCTGTTGTAACAAGAGTAAAAACTTGAGAGTACAGGTATGTGCTCCTGAATTTAGCAGAAAATGAAGGCACAGAATGGGATTTCCCCTCTAAGATCAAGTCCCTGGAGTTTAAGATTACACCACAGCAAAGCACTGGAAGTCAAAAGGGCTGGGAATTATAAATTGCAAGTTTGGGTAGCTCACACTGTCTGGCAGAGTCCAAAGCTTTGAGGATGAATTGAAAATATCCTGTCGCAGCTGGATTTGTACAAACCTCTGGGCCAAATGCTGATTCCACTGCAGAATTCTCTGGAAACAAGCTGGCACAGCTGTGTGGAAAACAACATGCTCAGCTCCACGGCCTGGTTTGCAGTGAGCAGGCTGGGGTGTTACTCAAGCTTAACATGACATTTAAGGGGAGAGTTGTGTGTAAGTCTCCCCTTTATAAAATGTGGGTCATTATAGTTCTTAGAGTAGTTTACATGAACAAGATGTAAAGCATAATGGAAATAGTCTGTTTAAATGAATAAGCTTGATATCTGCTAGTGCTCAGCATCTTTCCTGCTGTTCCAGTCAATGTAAATTATGGATGTTGTGATCAAATTACTTTTGAATTAACCAGACCATTTACTCAATGCTTACTTTCTGTCTGAAGATAAATGAGAGGGATTCTCATTTTAATCAAAACAAAATACAGAAAAGAAAATCAATTATTATTTAATGTTTTTTCCATCCCCGTGTGATGGAAAGTTTCCAGAGGAACCTGGGCTTAAAATTGCAAAGCACAGGCAGGAACATGGTTGGGTTTTAACTATTGGATTTTTATATATTATCAGAAAATATAGTGGTATGTGTTTTTTTTAAAAAGGCGAAAGAATTACTCTAAACAATTAATCAAACAAAAGCAGAATACAGCAGATTGCTTCGTACAAAAAATAAAAATCTGTGGGTATAGATGTAAAACACCTACTAGCCAACAAGCCTATATATAGAACAGTGTGAATTTGCTGAATTCATTAATGAATAACTTCATGGATTAGGGCTTGATAGATGGAGTGCTCACATCCAGATGTTTACTGTGATTTTTTCAATGGCCTTGTACTTAATCCTCCTGAACAGGAAATATGAGTCTTTTCCCTGGGGTCTCTCCTGGGGACTGTGGCAGTCTCTCTCTCTGGCCTGAATCATCTCAACACAGGATCAGGCTGCAAGGAATTAACCAAGTGGCGGGGGCACGGATTTGCCTTTAACCCCTTCGGTGTCTTCTCGGCTTCACATGATTTCCTCACCATCTGCCACAATGGCACTGTTATTTAGTCTACACATGGAGAAGAAAAAAAAAGGAGTCACCCCATGAGGCACATTAGTGGGGTCCCTGTCTCCTGTGGGGAGACACACAGAGCCCCACTGCCACAGAGAAGCAAGGGGGCTGTGGGGAGATTAAGCCTTGAGGCTGGTGTGCATCTCTCCACATCTCAGCATTTTGTATTTATTTTTGTGGTGCTGCTACTCATTGTCAGTCATAGGGATGGCCCAAGAGGGAGTACCTGTGAAAAGACTGGTTGACCCTAAGGTGTCCTTAGTCAGGTGCACCAGAGGGTGTGTAGCGTGCGTGTAGGTGTGTTTGGGTGTGGGTAGGTAGAATCACAGGATCACAGAATGGCCTGGATTGGAAGGGGACCTTAAAGACCATCTTGTTCCAACTCCCTGCCACGGGCAGGGACACCTTCCACTATCCCAGGTTGCTCAGAGTCCCATCCAACCTGGCCTTGGACACTTCCAGGGATGGGGCAGCCCCAGCTTCTCTGGGCAACCTGTGCCATAGGTGCATATTTTTCACGTCCCTGACATGATGGCTCTGCTGGGCGTAAGGATGTAATCCTTGTTTTCTCCCTATGGAAGTGTTGGTAAGATAGTGTTGTGGGTACAGCCTGCCTTTAGGTGACAGAGAATCTCTGGCTTGGGCAGCATTTCTTCTGCAAAACTTGTATGAACCTTTCCTAAGTGTTAGTTGGTAAAGTAGGGAATCTTAAAAGAATTGGATTTAGGCCGCCCCTTGATGCTGCCTAGCCAGGTGAGTCCCACTTTTCCAGCCTCAGGAGAAAACCTGCAAATGAGGCTGTGGGATAAGTCACTAATGCCATTGTGTGGAAAAGATGGGGGGAAAGCAACATCCCAGTCATGAGACAGGACAATAGGTGTTATAACTGGATTAGGAGATCTGAGTGGCAGTGGGAGGTGGAGAAAGTGCTAAATTTTGGTGTGGGTGTGCTGGAGGGTTAGGGACTGATTTCATGTGTGCAGGTGCTCAGGATAGAAGTACTTTTGGCTAAATAACAAGTATGGGGACAAATAAAGTCTTTATCGGGGAGTGCCTAATTAAAACATTAACAGCACATCTCAGCACTTGATATGTTTCCCTATTCTGCATGTCATCTTTTCTCTCCAGTACCTTGGCTTTCTGCTGGTAGGACTGCTCTTCAAGAAAGAGTTCGGGGTTTTAACACCAAACTCAAAAAATGAAGTCTATTAAACAAAAATTGCCCTTTAAAACTCCCTGCTTGGAGCAGATGTTTCCTCCCCTTTAACATCATCCTCCCCCTTTTTCTTCACCCTTTTCTCCCTACTTCCTTTGTACCCACATCTGCAGATACCATACTAGATTCTCAGAACTGGTAAAGCTGCAAAATAGTCACAAGTTACTCAAATGTTATACAAGAAGCTGTATTTTCCTAAGATATCAATTAATAACATACATTTTCTTCATAGGGTTTTCTGTGAGGCTTTCATCCTGGTGAATTTGGGCAAGTCTTTCTCTGCACTTTAGCATAATCCCATCTGCCTGCAAATTCAGGATGTGAACACCACAACACAGTATTTAGAAAGGCTAGAAACTTGGTTTGAAGGGAGAATTTAAATTCAGAGTAATCTCTCCCAGGCGTTCCCTATTATTGATGAAGGAATGACAGAATGGATACAATCATTTGAGAGGCAGTAAGTTTACTAGCCCTCTGTGCACTTTATTGTGCTCTCTGTCGTGCCCATCATCACAAATGTCTGGGGATGTTTCCTCTTGAAATATTATTATTCCTGATAATAATAATGTTTGGAGGGAGAATGCCTTACATTAAAGCAGCTGACAGAGCTGGAAAACCAGATTAATTTTCCAGTGTGGAAGCCCTTCTCTGGTTATAATCCCTGACATGCCTTGGCAACAGATCAGCCACTACTTGTTGGAGTGCACAGGTGTGTTTATGGTGTGTCTGTATTTATTGTGGACTTTGCTAGTCCCAAGGGCTGTTATACTACATTTTGCAAATTTGATACATTATTCCATTAAATAGCTTTAAATCAGAGGGCTGTTCTTTTCAAAGAGGTTGCTCTAGAAACTTATCTGTAATTTTGCTTCTAGGAATTACTTGTGTGAGTAAAGAGGTCCTTTACTTCACTGGCACGGTGGCAAAACAGGTCAGTGATTCTGTACTCAGTTCTCAGAGGTAAATTACAGAACATGGGCAAATCACCACTTACAGAAACTATTTAATGCAGTTATGGTTTTCTATTTTGGCACTGCCTTTAATATCTTTGGGCATATTTAATATGCAGAGGTAATGTTTTAAATTAAGGGAAAACCACTAAGCACAGTGAATCTCTGTAAGCTGCTTGATGGAGCTATGAATATTACCATAAGGATTCAGGAAAAATGTCTCCGCAGTGATGCCAACTGGAAAGCAAAAATGGTTTTTCACCTTATTTCGTATTTACACTCGATTTTGTTAGAAACCCAGAAACTCCACAAGAGTGGAGCGGTGTATATGCAGATAGGTTCTCATCCTACAGTATTTATATACATATTTAGTATATTCACCGGTAGACCTTGAATAGAATGAATGATTTCATGGTTTGAATACAGAAAGTGAGATCTTAGCATGGACTGTATTACTGAACTGTAACTGAAGTCATTGTGCAAAGCTGCTTCGATTCCTTTTCTCTAATAAAATGTGCTTCTACTGAAATGTTTCAGACTTGGATATGGGTTTAAGAATGCATCAGAGGGAAAGAATAGCCCCGTTTGCAAACGCTCACATGAAGGTAGAAATGTTGTCTGCTGGCGTGGGAAGCACCTTTTGGAGCTGCACTAATTCCACGAGAAACCGGGGGGAGGAGGAGAGGGGGAGAGCAACCGCAAATCTAAATAAAAATACCCAATTCCTTCCTTTGTTCTCATTCCACTGGGAAAAGCGCGGGGGCAGATACGCGCCAAGAGGCGCCAGGAATCCCCGGGGCTGTCGGTTCTGATTTTCATTAGAGGTGAGTGGGGGTTTGCAGCTGCGCGCAATCCCTTCAGCGAGCAAATCCACGCGTGGGGGGCCGCTCCGTAATCCCCAGGCGCGGCGGGGGCGAGGGCTGGGGGAGCGTGAGGGAGCCCCGGGGGGCGGAGGGCGAGCTCAGCCCCCCCTCCCCGGGCACAGGTACCCGCGGCGCCCGCCTTCCCGCATCCGCGGAGCGCTCCCCGCGCCGCGAAACCTGTGGGCATCCCCGGGGCACGTGTGGGCATCCCACGGCTGGAACCCGCTCCCAGAGCTCATCCGCGACTCGACGCCGATCCCTTTTGGCGGGGCGGGGCGGGGCGCGGTGGGATAGGATGCGCGGCATCCCAATTGTCCCCGGGGGATGCTGGCGCTGCCTGCACGGGGGCGCGGAGCAGGAGGGATCCTCTTTGACGTCAAGCGCCCATAATATAATGATCGCTCGTTCATATCCGGGTCCCCGGGCGGCTCCCCCGGGCCGCGCTCGGCCGCGCTCGGCCGCGCAGTGAGGGGAGGCGGGTCGGGCAGGGCAGGGCAAGGCAGGGCAGGGCAGGGCAGGGCAGGGCAGCGCGGCCGCCCGGAGGTGCCCGGCGGCGGCGGCAGCGGGGCCGGCGAGCGCAGCATGCCCGCCGCCTCAGACGCGCCTGCCTCCCGCCGCCGCCGCTGCTGCTGCTGCCGCTGCTGCCCATGGAGATCGCGCTGGTGACTCTGGAGAACGGCGGCACCACGGCCATCGCGGGTGGCGAGGATGCCGCGGCCGCCGGCGGCCGGGCACGCTGGCGGGGCAACTTGCTACACATCGCGGGCTCGCCGCAGCTGAGCGACGGCAAGGAGGGAGCCCCGCCGCCCGCGCCGCCGCCGATGCCACCGCCGCCGGGGGACGAGGAGCCCGAGCGGCCCCCGCCGAGGGACGAGGATCCGGAGCGGCCCCCGCCGGGTCCCCGCGGGAGCGGCCCCCAGGAGCGGCCGGCGGAGGGACGCGCCCCCCCCCGCGCCCCCCCGGCCGCCGCCCCGCGCCCCCCGCCCCGGCGCGGACGTGGGACCCCCGGAGGAGGGGGGACACCGCCGGGGCATGGCCATGGCAGCGGCGGGGGACGAGGAGGAGGAGGCGGCGGCGGCGGTGAACCCGGGCGCCATGCACCACCAGCGGGTGCTGATCAACATCTCCGGGCTGCGCTTCGAGACCCAGCTGGGCACCCTCAATCAGTTCCCCGACACGCTGCTGGGGGACCCGGACAAGCGCATCCGCTACTTCGACCCGCTCCGCAACGAGTACTTCTTCGACCGCAACCGGCCCAGCTTCGACGGCATCCTATACTTCTACCAGTCCGGGGGAAAGCTCCGACGGCCCGTCAATGTCTCCATCGATGTCTTCGCCGACGAGATCCGCTTCTACCAGCTGGGTGAGGAGGCCATGGAGCGCTTCCGGGAGGACGAGGGCTTCATCAAAGAGGAGGAGAAGCCCCTGCCCCGCAATGAGTTCCAGCGCCAGGTCTGGCTCATCTTTGAGTACCCCGAAAGCTCCAGCTCAGCCCGGGCCATCGCCATCGTCTCCGTGCTGGTCATCCTCATCTCCATCATCACCTTCTGCCTGGAGACCCTGCCCGAGTTCAGGGACGAGAGGGAGTTGCCTGTGCCCCTGCCTCCACAAGGTGGAGGTTTGAATGGCACCACTGGGGACTCCCCACCCATGCAGCCCCCCAGCAGCCTGGCTGACCCCTTCTTCATCATCGAGACCACTTGCGTGATCTGGTTCACCTTTGAGCTCCTCGTGCGCTTCTTCGCCTGCCCCAGCAAGCCCGAGTTCTCCCGCAACATCATGAACATCATCGACATCGTGGCCATCATCCCCTACTTCATCACCCTGGGCACCGAGCTGGCCCACGAGCAGCAGCAGCCCGGGGCTGGCAGCAGCAATGGGGGAGGGGGCCAGCAGCAAGCCATGTCCCTGGCCATCCTCAGGGTCATCCGTCTGGTCAGAGTCTTCAGGATCTTCAAGCTCTCCAGGCACTCCAAGGGGCTTCAGATCTTGGGACAGACTTTGAAAGCCAGCATGAGGGAGCTGGGCCTCCTCATCTTCTTCCTCTTCATCGGGGTGATCCTCTTCTCCAGCGCCGTCTACTTTGCTGAGGCCGATGACCCTGAGTCTCATTTCTCCAGCATCCCTGATGCTTTCTGGTGGGCAGTGGTAACCATGACTACTGTGGGCTATGGGGACATGAGACCTGTCACTGTGGGGGGCAAGATTGTGGGCTCCTTGTGTGCCATTGCAGGTGTGCTCACCATCGCCCTCCCTGTCCCTGTCATTGTGTCCAACTTCAACTACTTCTACCACCGAGAGACTGATCACGAAGAGCAATCTGTCCTCAAAGACGAGCACAGTAGCGCTCAGGGCAGCACAGCGGGGGCAGATGCGAAGAGAAGACCCAGTACAAACTCTCTGAACAAATCTGTTGTGCACTTGGAAAACAGTGAGGAGTTCAACAATGGCACCAGCTCCATAGAAAAAGCCACTATCAAGGCAAAAAGCAATGTAGATCTCAGAAAATCCCTCTATGCTCTCTGTCTGGACACCAATAGGGAAACAGACCTGTAAGGAGAGGAGAGAGTTAGAGTTCAGAGATGTAGAAAGATTTACTGGTGTCAGAAACTTGCTACTATAATTATTCTTTTAGCACCAGTTAGTTTTTTAAGTCAGGCTGTATTTTCTAAACTGATCACTGTCCTGAGCAGTCCTCCAGGAATACATGTTTTTATGTTCTTTTTCCATGACACAAAGGGTCACCTATTTTTAAAGTAGACTAAGAATAAGCTACGCTCCATGATGCAGGAGCTGGTAAATTATGACAGTAAAAAATCTAATTTGTAGAAACTTACTGTAGCAAATGGTGGTTGGTTTTAAATGGGGAATTTGTAACCAATTCAGTTGCTCCAAGTTTAGTATTAAAGAGTTCGGGGGGATGTGTGTGTGGAGAATGAATGGACTGGGGGGGGAGGGAGGTTGAGGGCTTTTGTACTGTAGTTTCAAATTGAAATAATTCCAATATATTTTATATTTGTATGAGTGTATTTATGGTTGAGAGGGGATTTCTTATTCCTGTGAAATATGACATCATTAAAGCACTAGGAACATTAGCAGATCAGCACTTTCAGAGTTTTCCACTTGTGATCAATACAGATCTGGTTATCCTGTATGTGAAGTGAATTTGGTGCTTTGAACCCTATAGCAGAAAACTTCTGTTGTCTTGATATGTTAGTTTCTTGTGAGCCTTAAATTATTAAATATTGTAGATATACTTCTTTATAAATAATTTTATTACCTTCCTGTTTCAGAATTTCTAAATAATTCAGTCATGTGCTTACTGTCCCCACCGTGAAAGTATGTGCAGCTTTTTTTTTTTTTTTTGGTAGTTTTAGAGTTTTATACCTTTGTTATATTTTTGAGACTGAAAGTATCTTTTCTGTCTGCTGTTACTGGTTTCGGTCCAAGTGCACAACAGATCAAAAGCATGAGGGAGTGGACAGACATAACAAGAAAGTAGAATATCAGTGCAATATCTGCAAAACTGTTTTCGTTGTATGCTCCAGGTTACTTTGGCACGTGTATCAGTCACCTTTATGTATGCACACACCACTTGTGTACACAGTTCACTGGTTTTAGTAATAACAGACTGGGAATGGATGGCACTTGAGGAGTCTAACGTGGCATGCCGTGATACTTCAATAACCATTGCGTGGCTTATATCTCAGGCTGGGATGGAGAGCATCATCTTTCATCAGAACACATCCTTGTTTGCTTTTTATTTCCAAACAAAACCTTCTCAGTGCTGTGGATTTTACAGTTAAGATGATGTTGAAGGACAAGTGACACATTCATTGTCTTCCTCAGTGTGGTACAGTTTGCTAGTGAAGACTGACACGAAGTTGCTCCTTTAACTCAAAGAGCTGTGTTACCTTTTTTCTTGCAAAGGACATCTCTGTTTCCCCCTCAAACTCCTGTTTTATTGCTGAAGGATGTTCCATGCCTTTCCCACACACAGTGGCACAGCAAGACTAGCAGAAAAAGAAGGCTTGGTTGTCAACACTCCAGGTTTGTTTCTGACAAATTTTCTAATATAACTAAGTAAATCTCAGTTGGGATTATAATTTATGCAAGTACCTCAGATGTATGTACTGCCATAAATTTAAATCAGCTTTGCAGAGCAGCACTCTGACATTGTCTGTAGCCAGACACAAATGCTGCTTCCCTGCCCTTTACTGTAGCCTCTAAAGATAATGCCCAAATGCATCATGTTTTTTTCCTTCCTATTCAGTAAAATAAGTGCCAAGCAAATCGTAGTTTTCATGAATACAGAGCTCAGCCCAAACCCCTGGGGTGAGAGGAAGGATGTTGAATCTGATAATAGAGAACAGCATCTTTCACATTAATTTTAGGTGTAGGTTTCTTGTTTATCTGTTTATTTAGGTGGGAAGTGATGCCATAATACGCTGAGAAGCTGCAACAAGACTGACAGGCAAAGTGTCCCATGCAGCTGCACTCCAGTCTCAGGCAGATCCTGTTTGCTTTGATGGGAGTTTTTGCATCAAAGGGAAGCGCAGAATCAGCTCTTTGGGAAGGCTGAATCTAAGATGAAACAAAGAAGTGCTATAATTCCCTGTTGCACATGCTGAGATCTAGATCACTGAAGAACTTAAAGCTTTTTGCTCAGGTGAGTAGTTTGATTTGCTTTCACTGATCAAATCCATCTGACTCACCTGAAGAAGTACCAAGCAATTCAGTGAGTCTTTTAGGATAAAATGTTGGGTTTGTCTTTCTGTAACTACTCCCCCCAGCTTCCTGATCATTTTTGCCATCCAGAGTTTGGTCTTCCAATTGCATGTTGTGTTGAATTGGACTGTCAGCTCCTCCGAGCAGGGACAATGTGTTCATACAGTCCCTTGTTTAACAGTAGAACCCTGCATATGGATATTAGTGATCTGAATTACATCACTGTAGTTATTGCATTTAGTGGAGTAACACTAAGCTGATGTAGGTTAAAAAGAGATCAGGGCGATGGGGGGTGGGATGAGCTGATCTTAAAGCCCATTGGTGATCTAAAGGGAAGACTTTGTCTTCCTCCCTCCTTTTCAGTTTTCCCCTTCCCACTGTGTGCCCTTTTGTTGCTTACGCTGAACTGGTTCTGTCCTTGGTGGAAGTGCAAGCGCTACCTTCTCTTCCAGGAGCTGCTTGAGCTCACTCACCTGACAGAAAATCCAATGTAGCAACAACAAAGTAGATCTTTTTCTGTCAAATTAGTGAGCTGGTAAGCAAGTGAGTGCCAGAGCCAGCGAGAGGAAGGGATGGGAGAGGTCAGTGGTGCAGGGAAGTGGGAAGCAAGGGGGAGTGAAATCCTCACCCTTCCACGGCAGTGAACTGTGACATTATCAGGGCTGCCTGTTAAACCCTACTTCATGTTTGCAGAGATACCGTAGGACTGTCTTGCAAGGTGCTGAGGGTCTTTAACTTCCCATGAGAGCCAAGCTGCTAAATTCATCTTCAGATTCTAGCATATGGAATCATAGAATGGCTTGGGTTGGAAGGGACCTTAAAGATCATCTTGTTCCAACCCCCCAGTCAACCTTGTCCCCAAGGCAGGGACAGCTTCCACTAGACCAGGTTGCTCAGAGCCCCATCCAACCTGGCCTTGAACACTTCCAGGGATCCACAGTTTCTCTGGGCAACCTCTTCCACTGCCTCACCACCCTCACAGGGAAGAATATTTTTCTAATCTCTAATATGTGCCCTGCCACAACTGAGAGTAGAGTTTGTCCCAACAAAAACCTAGCCTAGTGAAAGCAAAATACCCTGACTGCTGCAATGAAATCTGTACAAACTTGTCAAATTATTCCTCAACCTTCAGTTTAAATATACTGTGTTTTGCCATAATAATGCAACAGAACTTTCCAATAAAAAGAAAACCAATTATTCTCAAAATGTAGCTGAAAAAATTTTTTTTTTTGCTTGTGTTTCTAAAGAGTTATCAAGCACAGTTCAGGCAAACTCAGCTTTGACACCTTCTTTACAAATAATGCATAATTTCTATTGGCTTTTAAGGCAGTAGAGAATTTGCTTTCTAGTGAGAGAGGCTGCTGCCAAACACTGAGTGACATGACCAGAAACATGCAGCAAGGCATTGAGCGTGGGCTCAGCTTTAAGCACATGCTTGAAGTAGCATAGTGCTCAGCAGGTGTTTTTGATGGACTGATCTTTGAGACTGTGAGTTTTGAGATCAGGAGTGGGACTTTGATGATCCTTTGTGGGTCCCTTCCAACCTGGGGTATTCTGTGGTTATTTGAAGATGAACTACATACTGTGCTGAAACCTTGGCCTTCTCCTTGGACTTTGGGGCAAATATGTAAGTTCGTGGTACAGTCTGTGAGTTGGAAAAGAAGTGGTTCTGTAGGACACTGTGTTGAGAACACCAGATTATTACTACAAAGAGGGCGTGTTTCTGCAGCCACTAACTCATCAGAGCAGTCCTCTTGACATGATCCACTGATCCTGTCAGGATCCTGTCAGGATCAGTTGCAAACCAAGCACCAGGGTTATCTGCATGAAGAACTGCAGCTTTGGCCTGGGTGAGGGTGTAATTCCACTTTCCAGCAGCGAGAACCTACTTTTGCTGTAATAGATTTCAGGATCAAGAAGCTTCACTGGGCTCAGCAGGCAGCTGGTGTCCGTGCTTGGGATACAGAGAAGTGCAGAAGACACTAAATGATGCAAACTTCTGCCAGAGAAGAGTATGCAAGTAAGAGAGAACTGGGGAAATATGAAATGGGAAGAGAGTTTTGGCTGCATGTACCAGTTCTAAGCCCATTACAAGAAGGAAATCTGTCCTGCCTGTTACCGATTTTATCTTAGCTGGCCTGGAATGAATAGCAAGCTGAATAAAACCTCTTTGCCATATCAAAAGCGTCAAGATAAGCTTAATGAATAGCAAATAATTGGAATCAGATAAAAAAAAGCCAAACAAACCCAACTGAACAACAAACCCACACTTTTTTGTAAAGTCTTTTGACTAGGAGCTACAACATGGAAGATTTCTCACCCCACACATACTTACATGCCATAGTTATTAATGGCTTGTCATTTTGTGTGGGACAGTAGGTACTAAAATGGATTCTTCCATGTTGGGGATACTGAGGTGAATGTTCATTTGGGTCACCAGTAATGTAAGTTTAGTTTGCTTAACCTGGCCCCAAGGGGAGTCTGCATTTCCCTTCCATTTTTCCATCATTCTAAAAAAATGATAAAGCAGTAACTAGCAGTTATATAATACCATTCACCTCTGAGTGCTTTATGAACAATAGGACAATGATCTGTATACAAACAGGGTGAAGAAAAGGCTGTGGAAGGGAAGACAGAGCATTTCGAAGGGGGAGAGAGGTACAAATAGGAATGGGCTTGGCTGGACTGGGACATATAAAATGTAGAAGTCAGGGAAGAGAGAGATTCACCCTGTGGTCTCTCGCTTGGCTCTTAGTGGCTCTGCAGGCAAAGGCTGTGTGCCAGCAGCTGTGCACTGTGACCCATCTGGTGGGGTCACTGAACATAGAGGGGACCTAATGCTGCTCTGAACGGCACAAACAAATCCCTCTTTTGTGTGCTTTTTTCATTTGGACCCCGTAAGGAGAACATGGCACTTCTGCTGGCTGTTCCCTGGACTCTCATGATGCAAACACCCCTGTTCTGGTGGAGGTGGTGGCGATGGGGTTCTTGATCCACACTGAGTACTGCTCTGGAGCAGCTTGTCTTCTCCATAAGCTGACATTCACTTCTCATTGGGTAACAAAGCAAATATCAGTGCACTTCCAGTCTCGTGGAAGATACATGTGCACACAAAAAGTCTTACTCTTCTGAAATATATCACAGAATCATTTAAATTGGAAAAGCACTCCAAGATCATCCAATCCAACCTGTGCCCATCCCCACCTTGTCCTCCAACCCAGAGCACTGAGTGCCACGTCCAGTCATTCCTTGGACACCTCCAGGGGTGGGGACTCCACCACCTCCCTGGGCAGCCCCTTCCCATGCTTAACCATCCTTTCTGTGAAGAAATTTTTCTTCCTGACGTAGTATCAGTGCAGCTCGTGCTGAGGTCAAACGGGGAGAGCGTTTATGGGCACGTGATGGTGCCACTGGGCCATGGTGAGGGACAAGCTCCCTTGCTGACATCTGTTCCAGTCAGTTAGCAAGATGTCATGACAAGTTATGAAATTTGACAAGAGCCTCCAGGCTGACTGCTGCCAGACTTGGGGAATAATGAAAGGAGGGCTTTAAGCACCTAATCAAGACTTTGGCCTTGCTACTTGGCCGGTGGTAGGATCGGTGTATTGTCAAGCAGTCGGTGTGTTGGAGACATCTCAAAATAACAAGGTTGATCCTGTTCAGGACAGAGGGGCAGCAAGGAAACTGTGAGACAGAGTTTTAAGAGCATCTGCCTGCCTTTGGTGCAGCTTTAGCCTGTCATTGTGTGACCTCCAGCCTCATTCTGTAGACTAATATAGCTACAAATGTCTAAAAAATTAAATAGAAAAGGTCTTTATAATAATAGAGTCTATGAACAACCAAAGTTGTTGTTCCAAAATCATTCTGACAAGGCTTATGCCTTCAGCACCACTAAATGTTTTTTTAAGAATGTGTCATTTAGTGTATTTGTAGCTTTTGTAGTGTTTGCTTTGTGGTTGGTTGGTTTTGGGGTTTTTCTTTTCACTTTCTTGTTGTATGCATTAACTGCTCCCCAGGCCTCCTTGTCTGCTTGTTAAAGTTCTGTTGCTCATGCCTAAATCTGGGACCTCAGGGTGCTGATATTCTTCAGTGAGTATCATGCTCTCTGACATCACTGTGTCAGTTTATAGGAGGAATAAACACAGAAATTCTCCAGTAGCTACCTGTGGGTCCATTGGCCAGAACACACCCCATTTTTGTATGATGAAACGTTGTGAAAGATGTGGGCCTTGTGTCAATAAAGTCATATGAAATGAAAAGCTTTATGTTAATTGGAATAGGAAAATGGTAAAGCTCATAATGACATAAGTAAAAAATTAATT